GCAATAAGCAGGCCTATATTAGAATTGGAAAAGGTACATGATGTAATTATAATCACATTGCTTTTTTGGAGCACTTTACAGTTTACAAAGCACTTTCACATGCATTAGCTCATTGGAGAAAATTGCAGGGAATTAGTTAACTACGGAAAATATAAAGAAACCAATAAAATTCATCTGTGAATCCACCACTCCAAGAAAATCTTTGTTAACATTGTAACATGTTCCCTTCAACCTATTTTGTAGTGTTCTTTTGCCTGTCTTTTTGCTTTATTAGGACCACGCCGCATATATATTTTTATGGCCTGCTTTGTTCATGGAACATTGTGTCTTCCACCATCTCCTTTGATCCTCACATCCATCCCCTAGGAAGAAGTAATTGTTGTGAAACATCCCTGGTTTGAGGTCCTAAGACTGGATTCTCATCCCAGACTCTTCCTGCTGCCTGAAGCATATCACTGAAACCTGAGCCTCAGTTTCCTCCTTTGTAAAACAGAGCGTGTGCTGTAGGATTAAATTAATGACACAGTGCACCTAAAAACATCTAGCCCCGCACCAGTCCATAGTAGTTGCCTGCTTCGCATTAGCTAAATAAAGGTGCAAACCACCTCGTTGATGAGAAATGTAACATTAAAGTTCACGGGTGCATCTGTTAGGTTCAGAGTCCTGTGGATGGACAGACAGGTGTTTTCTATAATCCCCACTGTGGTTGGTAGACAATAATAAATAATATTCCCTAGACCATACCTTTAAGCAGCACTGTCATGGCCACAGGTGAGCTTAGGAGGTACAGGCCACTGAATCCCATTATTGGTACCCTGAAATTCAGAGCTGGAGGCTGCTTACTCCTCAGGACTGCTGGCCGACCCTCCCTGCTAGGGCAGGGTGTCCTTTGGTAGTTCTGCGAGCACTCTCATTGGCCACGGCTTCCACTCCTCATGCGGGACTGAGCACAGCCAGCAGGGACTTGTTGAGCATATGAGATGCTCTAGGTGTCCTAGCTAGGTTCATCAGTTTCAGGGATGAATGGGAGACAGCTCCTGCCGCACGGCTGCTCTGTAAAAAGTGTCTCCTGCAGCCATTTACCTTGAATGTCCTTTCCCCAGCTCAAGGGCATGTGCCCGTGTGTGTACATAATGGTGAAGACAAACCCCCATACACACACGCATTTCTTATCTTCTGGTCGTTAATGTTCCTTCTTACACGGTGAGGGCCAACTACTTGGTCGAAGCCTCATCAAAGAAAGACCCTTTCTCCAAACACACATGCCTGCTCACACTCACACGCGCACAGCCACACACATTCCCACTCTCCTCTGTTGAACTGGAAGCCAGGTATTCTTGTTAACACACTAAAAACACAAAACCAAACCAAAAAAAAAGCCAACGTTTCTCTTTGAGACATTTGCAGATGTCTCTTCTCCCACGGAGAGTGATGTGTGTGGTCTTTTGCAGTGTGGGTGAGGAGGGGGAAGAACAGCAGCTGGTTTTGTTTCCTCCTGGGAGGCAGTGTCATGGTTCCCAGGCACATGTGATTTCCTCCAGGGGAAGATCCTGGGGACCCTCTGGCGTCCATGAATCAGAAGGGCCACCCTGGCTCATCCGGCCCCTGCCTGCCTGCCTGCCCACCAGGCTTCGAGTCTCCTTCAGGTGAGGCTCGAGGGTAGAAAGTGTCCTCCTGGGTGTCTTCAGTGGACCAGGTGTCTCCCTTTCCTGACTGCGATAATAACTATGATAATAAGTGACATCTCTTGAGTCTTATCACTCCAACACTGTACTGTCCACATGCAGCATGTCTTGGAATCCTCCTTCAGTCCCCCAGGGTAGCTAATGTTGCCATCCCCATTTTACAGTTGAGGACATTGAAGCTCAGGAGGGTTAAGTGACTCATGCGCTCACTCGAGATCTTCCAGGAAGGAGTGAGATAGAGCCAGTGACCTTGGCCACTGTGCTACACCTGCGTCTTCACCTGAGCCGGGCAAGCATCCTTCCCGGAGAGGCAGCACGGCGGTGGAGGGGCGCAGATCAAGCTCGACCTCCCTGAGTGGCCTCTAGATTTTGAAGCTGCCTTCTCAACAGTCAGATGAGGCTCTGAATGCCTCACCGGGGGCTCTCGGGAGGAAAGGAAATCACATGTACCCAGCACCTTGCGCAGAGCCCAGCACATGCTTGTTTGCTCTCCCAGACCTTTTCAGCCATCACAGACCCTTGAACTGCAAATACTGGAGCAAATGATGAGCTTAAAATGGGCTTATTGGTCACCTTCTGTGCATATAATTAGAAGAGACAAGCCCAGGAGTTCAAGGCTGCAGTGAGCTATGATTGTGCCACCGTACTCCAGCCTGGGCGACAGAGTGAGACCTTGTCTCTGGGGAAAAAAAAAAGAAAGACACGAAAGAAAATTATGAAGGATGGGCCTTAACTTCACAGTGATTACAGTCTTTTTATACACAGCAGATATTTTTCACACATGTAGCACATGAACACTGAGCACCTATGATGTGCCAGACACTGTTCTGGGGGCAACAGCAAGGTGTCACCATGTCTCCCAGGAAGTTGCCCTTAAATAATTTCAGTTGAAGTTGACAAGTGCTTTAACAGAGTTATGAATGAGGTACTCTTAGACCACAGAGAAGAAATGGACCACTTCTACCTGGCAGGGTTGGAAGAGGTTTCCCAGAGAAGGCACCATCTAGGCTGAATCTTGAAAGGTAAATAGAAGGTGTTGTAGGTGGAGAAGAGTGGGGTGAGGGAGGGAGGGCATTGCAGAGAGGGACGAGTATGTCACAGAACAAAGTCTAAAGGTGTAAGGGAAAGGCAGGTTTGGGGAGCAGAGAGAAGACCATTGCTCAGAGTACAGAGTATGTGGGGGTGATGATCAGAGAGCAGTCCATGGTTGCCAACAAGGAAATCCGGGTTTAATCCTGCAGGCCGGAAGGGGTCCATTGGCTCATAGGCTCTTAGATGGAATGAGAATTCCAGCTTCCTAGTCTTATATTAGTTTAAACGGTTGGCATAGGACATCAATTGACTTGAAAAGCAGAAGAAAATCCTTGGTTGCGTCCTTTTAATAGTTAAAACATTTGAAAGATAGCCGAGAACGTCTCAGACGTCGTTGGATCTCAGCTGATTCCCCGAGCAGCATTTGGAAATACGTGGGTGCATTTGGAGTTGCACAGGGCTGACTGAGGACGCTACAAGCATTTAGTGGGCAGAGACTCAGGAGGCTGCCCTTCGATATGTGGGACAGGTCCCCATAATGAAAGAGTGCCCCCCACAAAATACCAACAGCACTCTATCGGTGTGTATTGCTCGAAACCCATCAGACTTCAGAGGCCTACAAGAAGTGTTTATTGAGGCCGCTCTGCTGATCTGGGCTGGGCTTGCTCGCGTGACTTGGCAGCTGGGGAGGACGCTGCTCTGCCTCTCAGGTGTCTCTCATCCTCCAGCCCGCCAGCCTGGGCGTTCTCTCCTGGCAATGGCAGAGGTGCAGGTAACACTTTCCCTTGAGGTCTGACCTCGGGACTGGGACAACATCGTTCCTTTGCGTTCTGTTAGCAAAAGCACATCACGAGTCTGGCCCTGATTGGGAGGGACAGAAAACTAGACTCTGCCTTTTTAGTAAGCAACACTGCAAGGGGTAAGGATATTGGGCAGGTGGGAGGGTGAAGGATCAGAGCAATGAATGCCGTCATCTGCCGCAGCATGGCCTGTCAAGGCGGTGGTCTTAACAGTCTTAACAAGGCTAGACGGAAACAAGCTAAGACGTTTTCTTGTTGATGACTACTGTGTTGGTTTGGAGGTTTTAAAATATATATCTTCTTCTTGGAAAAATGTTCTATTATATTCAGTGAGGTTGGTAACTCTAACCTACGTCCAACTACGTGGTATCGTGTACCAAGGCTGATGTAACAGGAAAAATACTGGAACCAGCTGTGCAATGTGTGGCAAATTATTTTTTTTAAGTTGGTTTTATTGAGAACAAATTGCCTACAGTAAGTTCTGCTGTTCTAAGCTTACAGTTTGCCAGATTTTCACAAGATTGCACCCATCACCCAGTCATGATGGAGAGCGTTGCCACCACCTCCCCCCAAAGTTCTCTCCTCTTCCCAGGCCACTCGCTCCCCCAGCCCACATCCCCTTATCTAATTTCTATCGCTATAGATCAGCTTGTTCTCAAGTTGTTTTACTTTTTAGTTTCAGTTCTTCGTCTGCTAAACAGGTGTCATCACACCCGCCTGGTGGGGCTGTCGCGGGGTTTGCGTGAGACAGTACCTGTTGGGCAGCCGCACACCTGCTGGCGTGTGTCTCTGCATCCGCGTGTCTGAAACGCCCACGCCTTAGCTCCCTGTTAGCTGGTCAGCCTGCCCTTCCCACTAGCTGAGGAAGGAAGACGAGGAGTGGAGCTAGTTAAAGGACTTCTACAAGCAGATTAACGAAGACAGAGTTAGAAAAAAGAGAAGAGAAAAAACGTGGGTGCAGAGACTCTAATCTTGGGTGAAATGGAAGGAAAAGAGTTTCCCAAATGTTGCTGTGTTTGTTTTGTTTTCTTTCCAATGGCCGGTGCAAAGACCAAAGTTGGTAGCCTTAGGGAGAGAAAAGCATCAGGCGCACCGAGGTCCTTTTCAGTGGTGGCTGCTCTCTTTGGGCGCTTCCCCACATTATTTGAAATGGTGGCACTAAGTCATCTAGGAAAACGTTTCTTGTTTGCTTCTAAGGAGTTTGTGGTTGCGTATGCGTTTGTCAGTGAGCAGCGCCGTTGCTCTTAGCTAAGAGGGGGCTCGTTTCTCAGATGGTGAAGGCATCTGCTTTTCATCAACACCTTTCTGAAATTAGATTCAATTGCAGGGAGAAAAAAAGTGGCGGTCCTCTCCGTCTGTATCTAACCCATCCACAATGTCCCCATGGGTGATAAACCCAGGGGACAGCAGGGCCCAGCGTGTAAGCTTGTGGGCCCCTCGGACCTTTTCTTCGTGTTCCCAAGCCCCCTTCCCTGCCTTGCAGCTCCAGAAGCAGCTGTCGGAGCTGGACGAGGACGACTTGTGCTACGAGTTCCGGCGAGAGCGCTTCACCGTCCACCGCACCCACCTGTACTTCCTGCACTACGAGTACGAGCCCACGGCAGACAACACGGATGTCACCCTGGTCGCCCAGCTCTCCATGGACAGGTATGGCAGACGGCCCCGTGCGCCCCCTCCCCTGCTGCGAGGCAGGGCTGGCCCACAGGCTTAGAACGTTGAAGTCTGACAAGGTAGGGCTGTGCCTCCTCCCCTCCCCAGCACTGAAACCCAAGGGCTCTTGTCTTGCTGCTGTTGAGGATAGAGGGAAGGATTGATTCTTAGGAGGTAGAGCCCTATTCAGATTACTTCAGGGAAAGGGGGGAGTGTGTAGACTGGAGCCACAATCGCCACGGGAAGGCAACTGCTGTTTCTTTCCCTTATACATTTATTGATGCAACAAGCATTCATCAAGCATTTCTGGGCAGTACTGACACGAGCCCCGCCCTGGTGTCCCTTACAGTCTCATGCACTGCTTCCCAACCTTGGCTGGGGACAGATTGAATCACCTGGAGAACTTTTATAACACATTCGTGTCCAGGCTCCATGGCAGGCCAATTACATAAGAATGTGGGGTGGAGCCCTTCGCATTGTTTTGTTTTGAGTTTGCAATGTGCAGCCAGGACTGAGAACATAGGGCTGGTGGAATAAACAGCAGTAAACAAATAAAATGATTATAATTGCAGTAGGTGCTTTGAAGGAACTGGAATAGATAATAACTACTTCCTTAGGTAGTGTGGTCAAGGGGAAGTGTCTCTGAAGAAGGGCCATTTCTATAGAGACCTGGAAGACAAGAAAAAGAATCAGGTGCATGAGTTGCTGAGAGAAGAGTTTTTCGGGCAGATAAAATAGCAAGTGCAAAGGCCCTGTGGCGGGAAGGGGGCCTTCACATTCAAAAACGGGATGGAAGACCATCATGGCTGAAGCATAACAGGGGATTGGGAGGAAAATGTCATGAGATAAGATTATAGAATGTTAGATGCTCATATCTGTGCTTATCCTAAGGGTAGTAAGAAGTTATTGAAAAAATTTATGTATTTACATCATATAATTTATATTTTTTAAAACCTCTCTGACTGCCAGGAGATCACTCACCCAGGGCTGTGCAACTTTTCTGTACCTGGCCATTCTAGGTGCCCCCTCCCACCTTGTTTGGCCAGTTGATGCTTCAATTTACACATGGTCCACAGAGGCTGCCCCTGCCCCAGCTCCCTTCATGTCATCCCCCTCAACTCCCACAATCAGGAAGGTGGTTTGATTGATTCATTCCATCTTTAGAGCCACTTGAGAGGTACCTGTCCATCTATGGATGAGATTCCATGGGATTGTGCTAAGGATTAAATGAGGTAATGCCTGTGCAGTGCTGAGAACAGTACCTGGCACATAATAGGTGTTCAGTAAATGGCAGTTGTTATGAGTCATGAATGATTGAAGAATGAGCAAACAAATGAAAGGACAGGCACCCGGACATGAAAAAGGCTCACATAAAGTTGTCTGGGAGTGCTAGGAAGGAAGTGACCGGAACCTTGCATCCACAGGCCATCTGGGAATGATTTGTGTTGAGTATGGCTCCCGGAAGTGGATTCCTTGCTCTGTGAGTTCTGCTGCGTGTTAGCAAATCACTGCATGTGTAATTCAGTGGCTTCATTGACTAGTGGTCTCTTAGGGCTTCACAGCCTCCAAAATACCTTGGAGGAAGAAGGCCTCTAGGACTTCTGGGCACAAACAGAGAACGTGCAGAACATAGCAGGTAACAGGTAAAGACACAGTGGGCAGCAGGGAAGGAAAGCGTCACGGCTGTAGCACCAGCTCCGTGCTTGGCCTGCTGTGTGGGCTCCAGCAAGGTGTTTGCCTTCTCGCGGCTGCAGCTTTCTCATCTCCAGATCCACGTGATCACTCGGTAGATACTGCTCAAGCCTCTTCACTTTTGTGTGCCAGGCTCTGATAGTGCTGGGAATCTATCTAAAAAGACCCTGCCCGTATGTTCAAGGAGTACGTAGTCTATTCACGGCTCAGCCAGTGTATTCGTTTTCTATTGTCAGGTAACAAATTACTACACATTTAGCAGCTCGAAAAAGCACACGGTTGTTACCCTACGGTTTCTATGGGGCAGCAGTCTGGGTGCAGGTTAGTGGGGTCCCTGCTCAGGTCTCAGCACCGAAAGCAACGTCTTGGCTGGGGCTGGACCGTCATCTAGAAGTCGGCGGCCACCTCCCAGCACAGTCAGGTGTGAGCAGAATCCAGTTCCGGGACAGAGGTCCCCGTTTCCTTGCTGGCTGGGTCCTGTCAGCTCCTAGAAGCTACTCTGATTCCCTAGCTGTGCGGCCCTCTCACCGCACGGCAGCTCCCTCCCCAAGGTCAGCAGGAGACTCTCTCCCCGGTCTGCTGTGACAGAGCCTTCTGTAACATAGCACGAGCCTGGGTGTGATAGCCCACCGCATTCTCAGGTCCTGCCACGCCCAAGGGGAGGGAATCACACAGGGTGTGTACTCCCAGGGGTGGCAATCTTAGGGGCCTTCTGAGAATCCTGCCTGCCGCAGACGGGTAAACAGGTCTTACAGTAGAGAGTGTTGAGGCCGGGTAGGCCGAGAGTGGAGGCACAGAGGAGAGAAGGAGGGCTCCCCGAGGCAAGCGTGCTGCATGTTCAGTGGACAGAGAGGACACCAGGCCCAGTGGGGGACGCACAGAGTTGGGTGTGGCTAGAGCGGAGGCTGCAGGAGGGAAAGAGAGGAAAACACATGAACCTGGCCAGGTAGGCAGGGGGTGGATTACAGAGGGCCTCGGGGGAGGTGGCCAGCCTTTCTGACTCACATCTGTCAGATGTCCTGTGTGGCTCCACAGGGACACCTGACCAGTGTCCCAGAGTCACCGGTAAACTTCTCACGTCCCTTTGGCTTCTCACCCAGCTTTCGGTTTGGGTGCCCCAACTCTGCCCCACGCTGCAGCCCCATCAGTAAGTCGCCAGTCCCACCTGGCTACTCCAGCTCCTCTCTTCACACACGTGTTTCCTTCTCCATGGTTTTAAATGAAGATCAAATCTAATCCTCCATGTTAGCGCTGAATGATGGTCTAGACGGGTCTTCAGTTCTTTAGGTAGCATGACTGCGCCTCAGGCCTCTCCCTGGAGGCACCTGAAGCTCAGGTGCTATAATCCGTGCAGGTGAGTGAGTTCTGCATCAACCCGGGTGCCCGTCTCCTACTGAGCATCACTGGTTCTCCTCTACCTCATCACGCCTCCTGATAACGTGTTCAGATTACCAGCAGAATACTCCGAATCAAGATCGGTGGCCAGTGGCCACCAAAGAAATCTGAAATACGTTCTAATCAGAATAAAAAGCGTCATAACAGTGAATGAGACATGGCCCCTGGAGTTCTTGGTGGTCCTGCCACTTTTTGAGTTTGACTTGTGGACAAGTCACTTAACCACTCTAAGCTTCAGTTTCCTCATCCAAAACCTGGGCATGATAATTCCATCATTATTACAGTTATCCCTGAGGTTGTAAAAATCCAATGATGGAACGCAGCCCAGTCCTTAGCCCTGAGTGATGCTGGCACTGCTGGCCAAAATCTTCCCGTGTGTGGTGCCAGGCAAACATGCACGAGACCTGAGGACAGAGAGCCCCGGGCTCCGCTTCTCCAGTCCTCAGCCAGTGATTCTGGGCCAGTCACGCAACATCTTTGGGTTTCTTTTTTCTCCTTCTGTGAAATAGGGTTAAAAATACTTACCTCCCAGGGTCTGGTTAGGGTTAAATAAGAGATTCTCTGTAAAAACCCTTGGCCCATATTTAGCGTCCTGTAAATATTGGCCGGATTTGAATATCCTTCCAAAGCCATCTGCACGTGGGAGGTGTATGGGAGAGGTGGGGGGATGCAGGAGAAAAAGAAAACAGGAAGCGCTGGGTTCCAAGTCCAGCGCGCCCCGCCCCGGCCGTGCGAGTCCGAGCAGGTCACTTAGGCTACGCGAGCCTTGCTTTACCTGCCTAGGAGGGGGCAGTAGTGTCTGTCTGGTTCGTAGGCTGTCGTCTGGGTTCTATACTAATGAAATAAGAAGCTGTCGAGTGCCCAGTAAGGGATAGGTGTGAACAAATTCTAATTTCCCTTAATGTTTCGTATCTCTGTGCTGACTGTAGAATTTGCTTTCTGGAATTAACAAGTAGAGGAACATGTTTTTAGTTATTAACAATTCAAACCCGTCCTCCTGCACCCACTTGTTAGCAACGAGAGAATCCAGGCAAAACCGAGCCCCTCTTTCTGGTGCCAGAGGGCAGTGTCCTCCTGGCCTGGGCCACAGATGACCCAGCGGGACCCTCCCTCCCAGCCCCCTGAAAAGAGCCCCTACTCACACCTGCTGTGAACACCAGTCACAGGGGCCTTCAGAGCACATCGAGCCCAAGTGTAGCAGACGCGTGATACCCGTTAATGCATTGTGACAAGTATGGCCATCCGGACAATACCTCAGAGACTCCGAGGAATCCCAAGCCCTGATGAGAGACGCTTAGCAGGGCATGGTCAGAAATTATAAAGTGGCTGATGAAGACGGTAGAAATTCCTCCAGCCACTTCCGCTCCGTCTACACATCCAATTATGATGCCGCACGCTGGCTGGTGCCTGTTGGATTGATTTTTAATTTAAGAAACATTTCAGGTATGTTTGTAAACCTTTCGAGTCAGAAGTAGTCCGTACGTGAACGCCACAACGAATTAGGGGAGCCGGCCTTCAGGCTTGTGTGCCCGGCTCTCTCCGGAATTCCGTTCAGAAAGCATGCGTGTCGCTGCTTGCAGCTGTGGGCGGAGATCGGCCTCCCCTTCGGTTGGTCGGGGTCCTTCCCCCTCGTCCCAGCAACAGTGGAAGGGACAGAGGGAGCTGCACCCCATCTTCTGACGCCTGGCCAGGGGGAGCCTGGCTCTGTAGCGTCCCCCCGACGAAGATGTTGAAGTACTCACTACAGTCGCAGTGTCATGTGACTCTCTGCAAGTGGAGGCGAGAACAGAGTGGGCTAACAGGGCCCCGCTCTTTAGAGCAGCGCTGCTCCACGCCTGCTCCCAGCACCGGCCCACAGCACTGCCTGGGAGCTTGCTGGAAATGCAGGTTCTCAGGCCCCACCCCAGACCTCCTGAGCCGGAATGTCCAGGGTGGGGCTGGGAATCTGGGATTTAGTAAGCTGCCCAGGCGATCCTAAGCATGCTGACATTGGAAAGCACTGCCCATTCCAGAGAGCAAGAGGTAATTCTTTTTCTCCATGTAACAACTGTATGATTTTTAAACTTTAGGTCAGGCCACATCATTAAAACCCCCCGATGACATCTCATTACATTTGGAACAGCATCCTAACTGCCCACCATGGCCTTCCACGCCCATCTGACCTGGCACCTGCCCACCTCCCTGACACCTTCATCTGTCCTCCGCCCCTCACTCTCCCATGACCCCCACACACTGGTCCTGCTGCTTCTCGCTTCAACACGCTAAGCTCATTTTTCCCCCAAGGGCTGTTCCCTCTTCTTGGAAAGCTTTTCCCCCAGTGGATCCTTCTCATTATTTGCTATAACAAAATACTATAAACCGGGTGGTTTATAAACAACAGAAATTTACTTCTTACTGTTCTGGAGGCTGGAAAGTCCAAGATCAAGGTGCCGGCAGATTCGGCGTCTGGCGAGGGCTCACTTCCTGGCCCGTAGATGATGCCTGTTACTGTGTCCCCACGTGGTGGAAGGAGCTAGCTGGCTCCCTGCGCCTCTTCCAACATGGACACCGATCTCATTCATGAAGCCTCCTCCCTCATGCCCTAATCACCTCCTGTTGTCATCACCTTGGGGCTTAGGATTTCAACATGTGAATTTGGGGGTGACAAACGTCAGACCACACACCAGGTCTCAAATTCCACTTCTTCTGAAGGGCCCCCCTGGCCCACCCTCACCGTTACTCTTCCTTCTGCGTCCCTGGTCTGCTGCCTCTCAGCCTTCCTTCCGTCTGAATTGATCTGAGTTCGATTTGTTGGTTTTCTTCTCCCCCCGCTAGAATACAAGCCCCAGTAGCGCAGGACCCTTGTCTGTCGAGCATCCCTGGCACCTTGGAGGTCCTCAGTAAATGCTTGTTGGATGAACGCGTGTTTGAAAGGCAGAAGCAGAACCTAAGGAGGAAATTACAGCTATCACACACCGAGTAGCTGCTGTTTATCTAGCTTTGTGCCAGACACTTTACGTAATTATCTCATTTAATACTCAAATCCAGCTGGATATCGTATCAGTTATCTCTTGCTGCCTCCCAAGCCATCCTGAGTCCTGGCAGCTTAGAACAACCACCACAAGTGAGCTCACGATTCCGCAGATTGGCAGTCTGGGCTGGGCTCGGCTGGGCTCATTTGTGGGCCTGCAGCCAGCCAGGTGGCTGTTCTGGGGGTTGAGTGGCCATCAGCGAGGACGATGAGGATACCTGGGCCATGCAGTTCATTATCTAGCAAGGCGGCTCAGGCTTGTGCGCATGGTGGTGATCCAAGAACAGGAAGGAGCAAGCCCCCTACACAGCCCTTTTGACACCTCTGCAAGTGTCATGTCGGCTGATGTCCCCTGGGCAAAAGCAAGTCAATGTGGCCAGCCCAGATCAGCGTGGAAAGTATTACCAGAGGGTGTGGAAAGAGGACGAGGGATGATTTAGAGCTATTTTGTCGTCCACCAAAGATATATTATCCCCAGTATTTATGTGGAAATTGGAGCTCAAGGAACTGTCACCAGTTGCCCAGGTATACTGACACAGCTCACAGGTCAAATCCAGGTCTGTCTGACCCCCAAACCCACAGGCGTAAGCCATGATAATGTACTTCGCAGCCTGCCTTGCAGCAGTGCACCAGCGCAGAAAGGGCTGCCTTGTAGGGTGTGAGTTCCCCTTTCTAGCAGAGGCCGAGTGGTCCCCTGCCTGGCTGCTTAGGCCCACGGACACCCTCGTATTCCTTCCAACCCCGTTCTTTTAGGTTTCTGTCTTGACCATCTCCCTGCCTGCTCCTTTATAACTACAGAGACTGCAGCACAAGGCTTCCTGTCTTGATGGGACTCCCTAGAGTAACACCTCCCTGTTTCTAGACCTGCCAGACATCTCTCTGGCCATTCTTGACCCTTTGCTCACCCCTCCCCAACATAAAGCGGAAGAGGGCTCTATGCGGAAGTGGAAACAAGCTTGGGAAAGAGTCAGGACTTCTAGTGTCAGCTCTTCCAATGACTCATCCTGGGCCCTTGAGCAAGGCACACCCCCTATAATCAGCCAGAAGTGGTGGTGTGCATCTATATTGCCAGCTGCTCAGGAGGCTGAGGCAGGAGGATCGCTTGAGCCCAGGTGTTTGAGGCTGCAGTGAGCTATGATCACTGCACTCCAGCCTGGGTGACAGAACACAACCCTGTCTCTAGAAAAATCATTTTTAAAAAAATGACATAATCAGACTAAAACAAATCTCAAAGATTCTTTCCAAACTGATGATTCTGTGGTTTTATAATTAATCTTCACTTCTTGAAATAGTCTCCATCATCCCAGTGCTTTCTGTGCCAGGACTCTATCTTCCTACCTAGGAAACCGAAGAAAGACTAGACACAGAGCTTTGCATCAGGAGCTGCACAGGGACAGCCCTTAGGGAATAGGCGTGGGGGGAGCCATGACAAGGGTCAAGGGTCAAGAGGGAGTGAGGAGGGGAAGGAGCAGAGAGACGTTGACACCCACCGAGGGAGAAGCACACTCTTATTCCAGGAACCAGCAATGAGGGGAAGGTATCTGGGGACATCATCCTCAGCCCAACACTAATCCATATTGAATAATGCTCAGGACCCAGGTGTTGGGGTCAGGCAGACCTGGGTGAGAATCTGCTTGTTCCACTTTGTAGCTGCATGACTCCAAAGAGGTCATTGTGCCTCCTTGAGCTTCCTTGTGTATGAAATGGTGATGAGAAGCTCAATTTCATAGAGTTAGTATGAATATTGAATGTGTGGCTGGCACATTGCAAACAGCAGATAAAAGTATAGAGATTTATTATGCTGTTAATCACATTTTATATATTACCCTCATTATTTTAAACCTCAGTTTGGCACTGTTGTTCAAGTCCTGGCAGAACGGTTGGACTTAAGGGAGAAAAAATAGAGAGATTGGGGCTGGTGGTGTGGGCACAGTGGTGGGTTGGGACCTCATTAGTTCTCAGTCACTCATGGAGGTTCCACGGAACAACATCTGGTAGCATTTCCCATAAAGCTCAACTTATTTTTCACATCAACAGCAACCTTCGTCTGAGAACCTTAAGGGTGTTTTGTCTCTGTTCTCACTCTGAACTCTTAGCAGAGCCTGGATGAAGGGCTGCGCCAGGCGGGGCTTGATCGCTGCTGGGAAAATGCAGACACAGAGTCCAAAACCAAGTCCATGGGAGAATCCAGAGAAATGATCCTGTCTTGGTGCCCAGACATTCCTCCTACCTCCCACCTCCTCCAGCAGCTCTCGTACCTACACGCTACAAATTATTCTCACCCTTCACTCTCCAGTTCACAAAGGGTTTGTGCAGGTGGCTCTCTCTTGAAGTGCAGATTCCCCCCATTTCTCAGAAGATGCAACAGAGGTGCAGGGGCTATGGTTCAAAATCCCAGATCCTCAGAGCCCAGGAGAGAGCAGGGCCCTACAGCAAAGGCTGACTGCGACGTTCTGTGAGATTAGGCATCGTGGAGAAAGTAGCACCTCTTTAAAAAATGGCTCCGGTCAATTTGGTTAGCAAGCATGAGAAACAGAGGGCGTTTTGCCCTGGTGAATATCTTAATCCCCTGTGTTGAAAGACGAAGCAAAACCGGGCAATACCAATTCACAGAGTCAGTGAGAGGAAACTGAAAGTGGTCGTGAAAGCCATTGAAACAAGACAGGTGTGCCCATTTTCTTTTGTTTAGAATTGTGGAAATGCACGGAATTGATTTCCTGGTCATTGTCCAAATGAAGTGGGCATTCTGACCCGGAGACCGCTGACTATGCACCTCTTGCTGGGTACAGAGGAAAATTGAAATAGGCTTTTGCTGTTTCTTAGCCATAGATTTTATGTACCAGGCACTTCTAATGCCTTTGAAGAAAATATCTTTATAGATTTCTCTTCAAACATTTTTGCAGAACTCTCTCTGCTGGAAACCCCTTTTGTTTTTTTGCTGGGCTCTGTTCTCACGCCTCTCCCTGGCTCAGCATCTCTAAGGCAGCCGTGCAAAGTTGGCTGGCGCCCTGGAGCAGTAAGGGCTTGGAAAAATGAAGATGGCATCACCCCAGGTACACGTGGGTTCCCAACATTCCGATGTTTTTGTATTCCCTTTTCGAAGCACCCAGTGTTACTTTTTCTCACCGACTCCAAGACCCGACAAGGTACCTGGTCTCTAAGTCCAAGAATCCAAGCTGACCACACATCTGGTGCCCTCCTTCCTGCCTTAGGAAAATGGGGAGAAAGACAGTGCTCGGGGTTGTTGGGAGAATTCTGGAAAGCGCTTGGCACGTAGTAAAGGCATCCGTAACTGCAGTTGTCACGACTCGTGTTTTTTCTGCTTGTTTTAAAGCTCCTTGTAACTCAGGGGCTCAGGTTGTCTAAGACCTCCGTGGCTGGTCGCTGCATTAGGAGATCAGTAGAGCTGTTTTACACCTTTGCCAAGAGAGCAGAATTATAGGAGTTTGGGGCTGGAAGGGGATCTTTAGACCACTTAATATAATCACCCCCTCCACCCCACTGCCTGCCGTGAGACGGAAGTCTGAGGCTTACGGGGGGATGTGACTTGGCGTCACGTGTTCATTTGGAAGCAGTGAAAGACTGAAACCTGCAGGTGAGTGTTTTTATACCTGTTTTATTGGTGAAATAACTGAGTCCTGTTTAAAGCAGGGGTTTGGATGTGCAGCCGGTCGACTCACTGTTGATAGAGGCGGAGGCTGCAGGAGGCCCAGCGGATGAGGCGTGGACGGCCAGGTCCCCAGGCTCACCCTGCCTGTCTCTTGCAGGCTCCAGATGCTGGAGGCCATCTGCAAGCACTGGGAGGGGCCCATCAGCCTGGCCCTCTACCTGTCGGACGCGGAGGCCCAGCAGTTCCTCCGCTACGCACAGGGCTCCGAGGTGCTCATGAGCCGCCACAACGTGGGCTACCACATCGTGTACAAGGAGGGCCAGTTCTACCCCGTGAACCTGCTGCGCAACGTGGCCATGAAGCACATCAGCACCCCCTACATGTTCCTGTCCGACATCGACTTCCTGCCCATGTACGGGCTCTATGAGTACCTCAGGTAAGGACCCGCTCACAGGGCCGTCGTCTGTCCAACACTTGGCCTTTCTAGATGGGCAGGGAAGACCCAGAAAGGGGAAGGGGCCTGCCCACGTCCACCCAGCCACGGAGCTGGAACCCAGGTTCGCGTAATGAAATGGTGGTGGTGGAGATGGGTCCAGGGAATAGCTCTTTTTGTCTCCCAGTCTAATGTTCTTTCTATAGCATCTGTGAAAATAGACTGTCCCTCTTCTCATTTTTGATTAGCCTTCATCTAACCGTTCTAGAATGGTCACTGCCTATTCCTTAAAACAAATCTAAGTGATGATGATGCCTGACACTTACTGAAGTGCTTACAGCAGGCCAGGCAGTGGGAAACTGCAGGAATGAGACCGGAAGCCGTCGGCCCAAGGATTGCCACATACTAAGTAAGGGGGAGGCTGGTCAAACGTGGCCAGTCTGCCTCCAGCTCCACGGGCTCAATCACTGCCCCGGCCACGTCTGTGCATCTCCAGAGTCCCTTTCCAACTCTCCTCCACACAGAGGGGCAGGTGTCCCGTGGCTGGAGAAAGCACTTGCCTAATGAAACTCTCCAGTGGCTCTGTGAAGAGTGCATTTATTAAAGACTGATAAGCTGAATTGAAAGGAACTATAGAATTCATAGAGCCCAGAGGTCCCATCATACACATGGAAAAACACAAGATATAAATGGTCCAACAACAATTTTTTAAAAAATCCTTTATTTACTGTCATTGTGGGCATGAATTATCTCTACTGCGGGAGTGCGTGCCTGGATCCAGGTACCACGAGAGGTGGTTTGCACGTATTATCCCGGTGGATCTACACATCAAGCCCAGAAGGCAGGTGTGGCTGTCCTCACTCTACAGCCAGGAAGAGTGAGGCTCAGAGACGCAAAATGACAGGCTCACATCCAGAGAGCTCGCACCGGGGTGTGAACCAACATCCGTCAGACTCCACCCACCCTGCTTCATGCTTGTCTGGCTGCTCTGGGGTTTCTGAGCGTCCCAAACAGGGTCGGATATGACATCTTTCTCTCGTGTTCTCTTGCACTCTCCTCCCCCGCCCCCCATCTGCCTCGTTCTCTGTCTCTTGGTATCTTTCTCTGTCTTATGGCGTGTCTCTCTCTCCCTCCCTTTCTCTTTAAAAGAGCTTCCAAGAGCCTTTAAACCTTTTATAATGACACCAAAGCATAGGCGTGGATGAGCACCCTCTGTGCCCTGCTCTCTAGAGCAAGGGAAAACAGCCTGAGTTCTCCGCCCAGCTTCTGAATTGATCCTTCCAGGGGCATCTTGGGTTTCGTAGCATTAATTCTTTCCCTATGGCGGGAGGAGCCCCTCCCATTGTCTCCTCTAAGAACAGCAGGGTGACCAACCCCTGGCAGTGTCATCCTGAGTCATGGAGGGTGGGAGGTGCTGTGGCACCCAGCACTGTGTGAGCCTCAACTCTGGACCGCCAGGCTCCAGAGATGGGGCTCCACCTGCAGCACCTGCAGCTCCAGCTCCAGCTCCTGCTGGGTCTGGAATCCCAGTATATGGAGTGAGGGCGCCCCCCTGTGGCCAGATGGGGCTTGCGGCCCCTGATTCTCGTAGATTCTGAAACTTCGGCTTCCTGCGGACAACAGCCTCCCAAAGCGACAGGTAGATGAGGGAGTGAGGGCCACCTTGACCTAGAAAAGAGAGGCTTCAGGACCAGACCCCTGGCCATCCTCCACCCCTCTGGAGCTCCTCCTCGGAAGTACCTGAGGGGCCTTCGCTCCAACCAGTTGAGAGTGAACCCGCCCCATCATAAGAGTCTGGGGTCTCCACTCTTCCTGCCCAAGGACTGTTTTATTATTTGACGTCATGGGCATCATGTTTTAAAAACAATACACATGAACAGACTTTTTTTTTTATGTTGTCTTCCAATGTTCTATTGGTCAAAGACATCACTAACTGCTAATCAAGACCTTCCTCAAAGCGAGGTAACTCGTGTTGCCCGTTACTTAACATTTGGTTGGTGCATGGTCACTGGAGGGTGTAGTTGGCATTTGCCACCTTATCACAGGTATGTGGTTCCCCTCAGGAGTTTCGAAATATTGTAAAATGCTTTTAAAACTTCATTACTTTCTTCACAGACCTTGCTCAGGAATGCCGAGTACAATTCAATAGGGAGACCATAGTGGGCATCTCCCCGCTCGGTCGTGGAATTCTTGCTCTGGGAGGCAGGGCTACGGTTACCAGGTATTCGTATTTTTCAAGGGGAGCTGAGAATCTGGATTTTTAAATAAGACTTTTTTTAAAAACATATTGTGAACTAATTTTCAAAAATTGTTTTGAATGCTGTTGAACCGAACCAAACATATCGTCAGATTGCTCTGCCCCCTCTCGTCCCTGCCCCACCCACCAGTGTGTAACCTGTGTCCTAGGTGATTCCTCGGCACCGGAATTTTGAGAACCAGTGAGAAATGTGATTCTCTCAAAGCCTCAAATAAGCATGCTCTGTCCTTTTCGTATGGAGATAATCGTATCGACTGGCCCTTGGCTTACAGGAAATGTTCTCTCTGAGTGGGATGGATTTGTTTCTGATCCAGCAGGTGTCGGGGATCGATCTTGTGAGCCGTGTCACATTGCTGGTTTGAGATGTAAGGCTAAGGGTGCTATTTGCCACGGTAGCTGAGGACGCCACCGAGGCCAGCAGACCCTCCCAGAGAACGACTTCCTTAGCACTGATCTCCAACAAAATGCTGTACCCAAGCTCTGTTAAAATGTTAATATTAACTATATTACAATGATGATAGTTCTAAGTTATTGAGCTCTTACCGCATGCCAGAGACCTGCCAGCTGCTTTGTATACACTGCCTCTATTCTTCATGCTTCTGCATGACCAAGTGTTGTTACAAGTGACCAGACTGAGGCGCCAGAGAGGTTAAATATGAGTGTCGGGAAGAAGGTGTCCCTCCCTCTACAACAGCCTGCTCACTCTGTGGAAGGGGCCAGATCACTCTCAAACCCCAAGATACTGGAGCAGGATGACTGGCAGCTCTCTGGTTATACCCCCAAACACTTACTCATATCACCCTTTTAGGGGGGTTCCACTTGGTTACCAAAAAAAGTTCAGCGTCATAGCTCTCTGAGCCGTTGCTTAGCAACCAGCTAATAGAGCAAAAACAAACAGATCGATTGGAAAATAATGGAATTGGTTATATGCACGGGCATAGCTGCAGAGATTCACTAAAATCTCTTTCCCACCCCTTCACCTATTTCTCCTAAAGAATGAGCTTGTAGATGTTCGGCTTTCACCCTTGATTTCAGAAATGTCGAGTGAAAGTCAGGGGGGCATGGCAGAAGTCAGACAGGGCTGCATTTCCGTCTGGGTCCCGTAGCACTTATCAAGGATGTGACTTGGGGCTGCAGACGTGGTCTCCCCGATCCTCCATTTCCTCAATTAATAAAGGGACTAGTAATAGCCTCTTGCGGTGGCATAGTAGGTGCGGAGCAGGAGGTACCGTGCTGCCATTGGCCTGTTGACAGCACTCAGCATTGGAGTTCTGTGCCAGGCCACCACCCCCCTCAAACCCTGCCATTGCAAACTCTCTGCCACCTTCTGTATAGCCGGGGCAACTTAATGTGACCATCTCAATTTTTTCTTCTACTGAAAATGAGAAACTATATATTCATATTCATTCATTTTTTTAAAAAATGTAGTGAGCATCTTCCATGTGCCAGGCTGTGTGCTGCATTATAGGTGACAGTGCTGTCCCGGGTCATTCGGAGCTACATTTCAATGCTGAGTACTCCTTACTCAGTGCTTACTTGGTCTTGGAGAAGGTACTGAACTTCTCTAACTTTCGGTGTTTCTGAAAGAGGGATCATGCTACTTATTCCCTCATGAGGTCCTGGTAAGCTGAAATGCAGTAGTATTTGGAAAGCACCTAACAATGCCTGTGGCTACAGCCATTGTGGCTAAAGTTCCAGAATGGCAGAGGGACCAGGGATGGGCTGCCCGGACAGCTTGATGCTGAGACTTTCCATATCCATGGGACTGGGGCGGGTTTCTGCCTCTTTCACTAACCCTGCAGAATCCTCATCTTAGATCGATGCCTAAAGCTTAAAGCGTCTCTGCTGTCCTCGCAGCTTTTACTTTCTAGGGGACAAACATGCCACACTGGCTGGAGACCATATTCTGACAGTATATAGGAATGCCAAATTTGTTTTATTCTGTTCCCTCCAGGGTGACATCTGACCACCTCCCCATCACATTTTCCCTGGCACATAATTGCTGCTCTGTAAATACTTGTTGAATACGTGCAGAAATTCGAGCAAGGCCAGGTCTAGGTGGCACCAAGTGAGGCTGACTGCCTGCGGAGGGACATTACCAGGTGGCATTTCCTTGGGTTCACTCATCATTTTAATTCTGCTGTATCTATACCACTTAACATTTACTGAGCACTTCCGATGTACCAACCACTGTTGTAAGCCCTTTCACATGTATTTTATCATTTAACCTCACGAGAATTCATTTTACAGACGAGGATGCTCAGGCCAGGTAACATGCCCAAAGGTACAGCGTTACCACGTGGACAACTGGCTTAGCTTGGGCTTATCCACACACGTTCTGTGCTTAACCTGTTCACCGATCCAGTTGCCCGATGGGCCAGTCTCATCTCCATCTTCATCACGATGGCCGCGGTCAGCATCATGACTCGCATTTGCCGAGTACGTCCTGTGCACCGGAGAACGGTCTTAATCTTTGCATGAGATAATACATTTAATCCTTCCAACATCACACGGCACAGGTACTGATACCATCCCCAACTCCCAGTGGAGAAAACTGTGACACAGAAATGTCACCTGCTCAAGAGTACAAGCAGGTGCATGTCCATCCAGGTGGGATCTGGCTGCCCCAGAGCTGCCCTCCTGACTGCTGGGCCTCCCCTAATCTGCAGCCAGCATTTAACTTGGTGGCAGACTGCGGTAAAAGCTCTACAAGGTTTAGCTGTGGTTACTAACAGTAGACATCGGG